AACTTACAGCAGGACATACAAAACATCAAGTTTGTCAGGAGTTATTTCTGAAAACTCTACAAATTTCAAGTAAAAAGGTACTCACAGCACTGGATAAAACTTCGGCACATGGAGTCGTTAAACCAGATCAAAGGGGCAGAAAACCACCACCGCAAAAAATGCAACAGAAGACATAATAAGAGCTCACATTAAAGAGGGAGTACCTAGCCACAGGATTATCTGAAAATAGATTATATTTGGATTATAAAGATTAATGTTCAAAGCTTGGAGTAGCACCCGAGAAAGCTAGTTTTTATAAACACATTTTCACTTCAGAGTTTAATTTTGGTTTCCACCGGCCTAAGAAGGACCAATGTGATTATTGTGCTGAGTTTCAAAATATAAATGATGACGAGAAGCTGAAAATGCAAGAGGATATAAATGCGCACTAAGCTAGAAAAATAGAGGCCAGAGAAGCAAAACAAGTCGATAAAAATGAAGCAAAACTTGATAAGCCGTTTGTATGTTTTGCTGTAGATATGGGAAAAATTCTGTAAACACCTTCATTACAAGTAGGAAAGCTTTACTATGCGCAGAAACTAAAAACGTTCAACTTCACCGTATACAATTTGGGGACTGCCCATGCAGATAACTTTATGTGGCATGAGGGTGTTGGCACCAAAGGTTCCTCAGAAATTGCAACCTGTTTGTGAAAACTCTTGAGTGGCCTTGGGATTGAAGTGAAAGAAGTTACATTCTATGCTGACACAGCATCTGGGCAAAATCGTAACTGCATTAATGCTGCCATGTTTTTACGAGCTGTACAATTGCTACCGACTATAATTATAAACCAAAAATATACGGAGTAGGACACTCTGAAATGGAGTGCGACAGTGTTCATTCTGCTATTGAAAACCGTGGTAATAATATAGATATTTACACCCCAGAGGGATTATACAATGTTATCGAAATGAACTATTCGGATTTCTTGAATTTCAAACTGCTTTCCAAAACTGCGATAACAAAAAAAAAATGTGAAGATGGAAGTAGTCCGAACTGGTTGAAAGTAAAATGGGTTCAATATTAAGTCTGCCTATCATGGATTTTAAGAGGCACTGAGGACAACTGATAGTGTACAAGTTGAATCCGATATTTAAGAAAATTGACAATTTTGATTTGTGTTATTTTCATACCCCTTTGTATATCATCTGATAATTGTAACGAAATTAAAAAAAAACAGAAGATATTATCTTTATTCTCAATCACTTCTATAACATTTTTTTCACATCTTGAAATAATATCCCAGAACGTGTTATATTAAATAGTCGTTTCTGAAATTTTGACCCATTCAACAAACGAAAGTAGTCCTTGAAAATCTGAATATTTCAGATTTGTCCACATTTTCGAATAAAGCTCGTTGGGTATATTATGAAATTCTTGTTTCTGAAAATTGGTCGACGGGTTCCAAATTAGGAGGGTGTTTGGGGTTGAAATCGCTCACACTGTATATCCATTTTCTCCATGTTCATAATATACCTGATAATATTCCTCTTCAATACTTTGTCATTCAATTTGAAAAAACACTGAATTCACCTTCGGACCGTCATGGACTATCAGTCTCAAGATGTTTTCATCATAAGAGAGCCGAGATTATGAAAACGAAGTTTATAACCTATTGCGAAAGTTTTTTTAAAAAAGGTCTCACCTCCTCAACAACTCAATTTGAGGATACCACCCCGAACAGGAACTTTGAAGAAATTAAACGAAATTTGTTTCGTTGCGTCTTGACAATTAAGGCAGAGTTTGAAATTCAAATTAATGTTGTTAAACGATTCGAAGTTTGTATAATCGACCGACTTTACGGTAAATCTAATAATTGTGGAAGTTGCAAAGTTTTGTACATTGTATTTTGTTAATTCTTCGTAATGAACAATGCCTTCTATATCCCTGGTACATAGATTCAGTTGATTGAATAAATAACCTTCTGTGCTGAGCAAATATGGTGTATGTATACGTCAAATCAATTCAAATCAAATTAAATATACTTTGTCAGGAGAGATGAAATTCTCATCGACAAAGCCATCATACTTTAAAATAAGAATTGTGAAACATAAAGGTGTAATATACAAATAACAATTTCGAGATATTCACAACATGAGAAACAAATAACACTAATATAAGAAAATATGAAATAATTAGAGAAGTGTATATAAAAAAATATAGGCATAAAAATAACAGGTACATTTGAAAGTTAAAAATCCAAATGAAATTCATCTAACGAGTAGTAAAGTTCTGTTCAAGAAAATATTCCTAGCAGTACTTTTGAGTTTCTTGAAATTAGTCAGCATTTTGATCTCGTCTGGCAAATAATTGAACAAGTTTTTGATTTGGGTAGTTCATTCATGTATTTACTGAGAATTAGACACACTGCTTTCAAGATGAAGTTGGTAGTTTCAATATCCTATTTTCAATAAGCAAAGGCTTTTTCGTAACACAAATATCATATCAAATAAAAATTGATTGCAAAACCCCCAAGAACAAATTCCATATTGTAAATGGTGATCGATAAGAGCAAAGTATACCATTTTCGCCAGCCATACCTTTACCAAGTTCCCCAGAAGTTTTTTTAACTAGAAAACACCCAGAGGATAACATTTTTCAATTTGTCAATATGTTCTTCATACCTTGAAATGTCGTCAATGTGTGGACCCAGAAATTTTGTTAAAGACAGGGCCGGTTGCATAAAAGCTCATCAATTATTTGATGTCACTTCAAATATTTGATGTGACGTTACAAATGGAATTCGGTTTCATAAAAGACCCATCATGTACTTGATGGTATGGTGTCTTAATCATCTGATTAACTTATGATAATGACTATTTAACTTATATGTCACATCAAATCGACTTATTCATGGCATCAACTTAATCAGTGCTCGACCACTGATTAAAGTGACAACCAGTAAATGACTTGTGGAAGTTCCGCCAAATTATTTTGAATATTTCGCAGAATTTTTGCAGAATCTGAATAAAACGTTGAAGTTCTTAGTTCAAACACCATATATCTCCTTAATATTCTTGCTAGACCCAAGTGTAATGCATTTATGGTATCATCCCACAGAGGAGAATCCGAAAATGCATTAAAATATAGGGTGTCCCATGTGAAAAAGTACAACTTTGATGCATCTGAGTCACCCTGTATAACGCGAAATATTTGGAAATGTGCTGCTCATGAGCCTTGACTATCACAAAAATTTTCGTTCATTTATCTCAAACAGCCAAGTCGTTATCTCACTTTACCATTTCAATGACTCACCTTGTACAATAAACAGATGCAGGTATCTCTACGAGTGAAACTTCATGAGTCCCTAACATATTTCTAGAATATTCTTGACAACAGTTTCAATTTGTGGAACCACATGAGGTAGAATGGGTGAGTAGGTTACACTGGCAGTCATTCCTAAGTTTAGGCACTTGTTCCTGCATAATGCAGTGATGTCTTACTGGGCCATGTCTTGAATTCTGAAAGGTAATAGGTAGTTTTTGTTAGTATTCTGAGTGATTTTGAAATGATATTCTGCCTATGTTTTCTTCCTAGCTATGATATCCAACTCATTCATTATTTTTGTAATTGATCAGTGAAATCCGTTTTTACGAATGCCTCCTACTTTTTGGTTGGTTACCTATGAAGTTGTATTTATATCCCATTCAGGAATCTCATTATTTGTTTGACACTGGGGCAGAGCAAACCTGGAATCTAAGTAAGTAAGTAAGTATCATGAGCAATCCATGTTTTCGTTTGAATTCGTTCTTTAGTTCTTATCTTCCTTTGATAACTTTGAATCAATAGCTGAAAATCTATATTTTCAATGATCACACTGATGTCAAGGACAGAAATGGCCGGAATGGATATGATTGACTTTTAACAGTTGACAAGGTCATACTTTGCTTTACTAGTAGAAAAAAAATATCCACTCATATCCTGTAAGCTACGTTATAAGTAGGTGAAGAGAAAACATTGTACAAATATCCTCCTCCTTCTGAGATATATATGAAGAACCTAAGATTAACATATCACAATATAATCTAGTAATATTCATTTCAATATTGATGCAGCGTCTCATTAACGTATTATTTCATTATATTATGTTCGATACTTCAGAAGGACATTATCGCAATGTTATTTCATCAATATCACGGAAGCTATATCTGGAGCATATAAAAATATGTTTGTTATGTATGTTAGCTTTCAAGAACCCGCCACTGATGATTTCATCAACTCCTCGGAGACTGGGTCCAACGCAAATCTGATGACCGGGCAAAAAGCACAATAATTCGAATAGTCAAGCACAATTCGAGCAGTCAGTCGTTGACATTTATATTGCGAACTTGCTTCCATATTTTATTTTTCAAAGTTTCATTAAAAAAACAATCATTTCGATAATTTCGAGTTTAATTTATACCTAAATCTATCATGTATATAGTGTTCAGTGGGTATAGCTTTTAACCAGATAAACACAAAAAATTACTTTTTGGCTGGAAGTTGTTTGAGAAAACATGCTCTTTCAGAATGTGAGAAAAAAATATACCTTATTCACAGGTATTCATATTTCCTCTGCCTATTTTGCAATTGCCAGTTTTTCTTTTCCGGTTATGAGACAAGAGTGGGAAATTTGAATCACCCTGTACATGAAATACGTCTATGAATTCTACTCGGAATTCTATTAGGAATTCAAGAGTTGAGTAAAATATAAGGGTGGTGCATTTGAAATTAGAAAGTTGATATTGGCCGCTGCTACATGAAACACCTTGTACCGAAAGTTTTTGTGGAAATGAATATATACGCTTCTGAAAGTATCAATCAACGAGTCCGAGCATTTTTTCGAAATCGCCTCCGTTAATTCATTATCATATTTGTTCCATTCGGCTGGTACACACTGTATATGTTGAACATGGTCTGGTGGCGATCGACTAGAAAACCTTTATTTTTCTGTCTTGTAACGCAAATTATCACTATTTCAGATGATAGTCCGCGTTTTTGGTGACGGAGCACCTACAGATGTGCCTGTTACTCCAGAAACTACTACGACGGACGTCATAGAATGCTGCAGAGATCCTGGAGAAGAAACATGCGATTTGTTCGCCGTCTGCCCGGACCATGGAGGTGAGTTGTTTGTTTACCTTCATTCCATAAGTAACAATCATGTTACGTCAGCCAGATGTAATCATGTTACGTCAGCCAGATGTAACCGTCACCTTGTATTTATCATAAAATAGATCGGATAGTCTGGTCCATGACAATAGGCCATTTTACGCAAAGCGCTCTTCTTCACAGAAAGGAATAGAAAGTTGAATTTTACCATAAAATCATTTATTTGGTGACGCAAACTGTATTTATAGCACATCATAGTAGTAAAAAATATAATATTTACTGAATTTCTATAGTGATTTCATTATAGTGATGTTTGCCATTATAGTAGGTATGCAGGAGTCTGAAAGAATCATATCTTCACTCCATCTTATATTCATCCGTAGTGAAAATATCCATTATTACTTCCTTATAAACTATTGGAATTATCATTATGAGAACCTTTTGAACCTACTTACTTCATACTTAGATCAGCGAACCCAATTCGTCGTGATTAATGGTGTCAAGTCAAAGTGTGACCGTGTTACGTCAGGTGTTCCACATGGGTCTCATTCGGGGCCGCTTCTATTCAATATATCTTTATCAATGATATGTCAGGTTGTTTTCATAGAACAAAGCATACCCTCTTCCGTGACCAAAAAATCTACAAGAATATCGAAAGTCCCAGTGGTCCCAGATTTTCAATCAGACCTGGATAGATTCTCAGACTATTGCTCACGAAACAGACTTCATCTCAACCTCTCGAAGTGTTATCAAATTGTGTTTTCCCGTAGTAACAAACACATTATATTCGAATTGAAATTGAGAGACCAAATCATCGGAAAAACTGATAGTGCGTGAAAGAACTAGGAATAACCTTAGATGACAAATTAACTTTTGAGCAACACATCGAACAGAAGTCACTTAGGAACATAGGATTCATATTCAGGGTCACCAAATAATTCAATTGTTGGAAATCTGTTACTCTCCTGTTCAATATCATTGTGAAACCTATTATCGAATACTCATCTATTATGTGGAATCCATTCTACAACTGCTGTATTGATAGACTGGACAATGTACAAACAAAATTCATGAATAGACTTAGATTCAACAAGAACACATACCATAAATCATGTGAAAACAACCCCAAAATTTATAGGCTGGAAAATTTGGAATTGAGAAGGAAATTGTTTGATGTATGTTTCATATATGAATCATTCAATACAGATTGCCCATACTACTTCTACTTAGAACTATGCTACCTCAATAGCCCGCAACACAACATGAGGAATAGACAACTTTTGAGAGTTCCCCATTGCTCAACAGATATTCTCCCCAACTTTCGATAGTCTTTGTGAATCAAACAATGATATTGATATATTCAGCTTTTCATTTATTAGGTTCAAACATGGAGTCAAACAAATTCTGTACAATTAGTTCTTCTTAATTAGTTAAATACAGAATACATTGCCAAATAGTAATAACATTGTCAAACCTTGTACTGTCAGTTACTAAGCACTATCTATACTTATCTCAAGCATACTTATCGGTGAAACACCTGCCTGTTGGGTGGCCTCAAATTTATAAATAAATAATAAACATAGTGGAATGAGATGAATTCTCTTAGGATTATTTCTATATTGTTGAGTTAATTTTCGCAGGATATTTTTTGTATAGTGTCTGTAGTAACCAATACCCAGGATTTTTTGTAGCCATTACCATAATTCAAGTTCTTATGTCAAACGTTCGTTATTCGTCGATCATGACAGTCCACGAGAAATAAAGACACTGCAGCGTTGCCAGAGCTACTCCGATTGGAGTAGATCTACTACTTTTAATCGTATTCTACACTGCTACTCCAAATTACTGATTTCTACTCCGATCGGACGTAGGCGAGTGAGTCACGAACAGTGCCATTAAACTCAGTGCAGATACTATAAGATTCTGTCTAGACTTCTCTAGACCACATAGTTTAATGTTATCAATGACAACACAGAGGAGTTATCTCTGGCTTAACCCAAATCTAATTATTCTCTTTTTTTTTGGACGTATGGATTCTATTATCCACAAATTAAGTAATTATTAGAATTAACTTGAACTCTTTATTTTAATTATCAATGACAATTCACATCAATCATAATCTGACATAATTCCCAAATGTTATATAATGAGGGTTCTGCCACATTACTCCCCCCCTAGCTTTCGCGAAATTAGTCTTTAAATATTACTCTTCTACCATAACTTGACATAGACGAAACAGCATTATTATCTCTTGATCCATCATTCATTTTTGCTTTCATATTCTTATCTTCGATGATATCTCCAGAAATTTCTAAGAAAGCTGGTTTTAATCGATCTATAGATATGTTCTTTTCTCTTCCATTTATTGATAATTTAAAATATTTGCTAGTTCTTTCCAAAATTCTATGAGGGCCAGAATAAGGCTGCTGCAGTGGTTTCTTAACAGAATCAATTCTGAGGAATGCATGGCTACAGTGGCGAAGATCTTCAAAAATGAAACTTTTTCTGTTGCTGTCATGATTCGAAGATGGTGATGGTTTCATTTGATTCATGTAACCTGTGAGTTCTCTCAAGAAATCTTGGTGATTCGGGTACTCTCTGGTATTTTCAATAAGCAAATCTCCAGGAATCTTCAGACTTTCACCATACACTAATTCAGCACTAGAAGTACCTAGGTCTTCTTTTAGAGTAACTCTAATACCTAGCAAAATTAAAGGTAAACTTTCTGTCCATTTTTGTCTCTCATGGCTAGGGGTGAGAAAAATTATCGATATATCGATAATTATCGATAATTATCGATAATTATCGATAATAGTTTGGAGAAAAATTATCGATTTATCGATATTATCGATATTATCGATATTATCGATATTATCGATATTATCGATAATTATCGATATTATCGATATTATCGATATTATCGATATTATCGATATTATCGATATTTTCAATATTATCGATATTATCGAAATGATCAATAATGTCGATGATATCAAAATTATCGAAATTATCGATATAACCAATGATATAAAAATTATCAAAATGAATGAGCATCAGAAAAATAGGTATTTTTGTTTCTTATATGGAACACCCTGTATAAAACAGATACCTACTTGTTGGTGAGAATTGAAGTAAGAATGAAGAATATAATGAGACACGCCACCCTGTACATCAGCCCTGTTCAAACAACATAGGACTCCAGCACAGCAACTTGCATGAAGCTATCTGACATCTGGCAACGTGTCAACCCTTATTAGTTGTGGTGGCAAACTTATTGGTTAGTTATGTGTTGAACGAGTAACAAGTATCAAGTAAGGTGGGTTATCTAATTATATGGAATATTTTTATTTCATCATTCGATTGCTCATTCCTTGAAAAATAACATAATGACAAAATGGCTTTGTTTATTATACCTACGTAGAAACCATAAAGTAAATATAAAAAATTAGTTTTATAAAAATACCCTTGTCACGACTAGGGGTGGGAAAAATTATCGATATATCGATAATTATCGATAATAATTTGTAGAAAAATTATCGATAATATCGATAATATCGATAATATCGATAATATCGATAATATCGATAATATCGATAATATAGATAATATCGATAATAACGATAATATTGATAATATCGATAATATTGATAATATCGATAAAATAGATAATATCGATAATATCGATAATATCGATAATATCGATAATATCGATAATATCAATAATATCGATAATATCGATAATATCGATAATATCGATAATATCGATAATATCGATAATATCGATAATATCGATAATATCGATAATTATCGATAATATCGATAATATCGATAAATCGATAATATCGATAGATTATGAATATCGATAATCGATATTTCAAAATCATTATCGCCCACCCCTACTCATGGCACTTAATCGCAGCTTTGAGTGTTCTATGAAATCTCTCAATAATTCCATTACAACTTGGATGATATGGAGTAGTCCTATTGTGTTTGAAACCTAATAATTTCGATAGTTCTTTGAATAAGGTGGATTCAAATTGTCTTCCCTGGTCCGTAGTAACTTTCAGAGGTATGCCGAATCTTGAAATCCATCCTCTGAAGAATTCCTTTGCGACTGTCTCTGCTGTGATGTCTCTTATTGGAATTACTTCTGGCCACCTTGTATACCTATCAATACATGTAAGACAATAGGTATAACCATCGGAGGGAGGAAGAGGTCCAATAATATCCATGTGCACATCTTCAAAGCGGGCTGCAGGAATATTATATTTTCCAATAGGACTTAATACATGTCTGCTAATCTTAGACTTCTGACAAGGTACACAGTTCCGAATCCAATTTCGTATATCTTTTTCCATTCCGGGCCACACATATCTTTTCTTAACCAACTTGACAGAAGCCTTCATACCGGGATGAGAAGAGTTATGAATCTTTTTGACTAAGTCAATCCTGAATCTTGGAGGAACATATGGCCTAATATTATTATCTGCATCAATAGCACAGAATAATTTTAAGTTGGTTCCAGGAATATCAGTTTTTTTCAAACACAGAGATGAATTTTCGTCAGATAAAAGTCTTTTCAGTTCAGGATCTTCATTTTGATGTTCTTGCCAATCATCATATTCACTATGATTTTTAATGGCTATAGTATCAATTCTTGAAAGAGCGTCGGCAACAGTATTATTCTTCCCAGCAATATATCGGATATCAGTTGAAAACTGGCTGATATAATCGAGATATCGTGTCTGTCTTGGAGAAGCTGTTTCAGGCTTTTTATTGAATGCAAAACTTAGAGGTTTATGATCTGAGAAGATAATGAAAACTTGACCTTCTAGCATATATCTGAAGTGTTTAATTGCTTCGTATATTGCCAGTAACTCTCTATCATACGTGCTATAACGTTTTTGAGAATTAGACAACTTTTTTGAGAAAAATCCTAGTGGATGCCATGAGTTATTCTTCTCTTGTTGTACTACAGCTCCTATACAGAAATCAGATGCATCGACCATCAA